GGTGTGTCAGAGGCAATGAGATTGGCACAGGATAGAGCAGGGGTTAGGGCTGTTGTACATAGGGTCGCTATGAGGCGCAAATGACTTGACGCCACATAACAACAACAAAAACAACATCCTCTGTTACAGTGATTTTAGTGAACATTTAGAGAAAGGATGGGTTTTCATTCATTCATTGACACACATTTTCCTCTCTTGCTCCCCCAATTCACATTGTAATGCCTGTCTTGTTCCAGATGTCAACTGTCATGCACACTATGTCTAATTAGCCATTCCCTTTGGAAAAATCCTTCCCTTCTCTCCTTCTAGTATAGTGTTCATGACTATTTGGCATGACCTATCCTTTCTCTGCTCTCCCTTCCACCATGTCCATCCTACTTTTATAACAGTGGCCCTGTGAAATATATGTCCTTTGGGTGACTGAGATATTTCACTCATCATGATGTCATCTAGAGTCATCCATATTGTGTAGTCTTTTACAAGTTTACTGTCTTTAGTGCTAAATAATATTCCATTGTATAGATGTATCCAAGCTTTTCTATCCATTTGCTGACAAGCACTTGGGCTGTTTCCATCTCTTCACTATTGTGAATAAAGGTGCCATAAAGAAGGGTGTATATGCATCTGTCTGCTTCATGGCTCTGGTTTCATATAACCCAATAGTGAGATAGCTGGGTCAAATGGCATTTATATTTCTGGCTTTTTGAGAAAATGCCAAGCTGCCTTCCATATGGTACTAGATAGAGGCTGTGGACATAAAGAAGGAGACTGACCATCATTATCCCAAAGAGAGGTTGATAAATTTGAACTAATGACTTTTTGGTTAGCAGCGCTACTCCTCAAATTTCTGACATCAAGTAATTTCCAAATCACATTGGGTTTCCGAGTGCGTAAGTTATAATGGGAAACTGCCCAACTTTGTCCCAAAGAGACACTGGTGGACTTGAACCAGCAAAGACACGCAGCCTTTGGGTTAGCTGTGCAACTCACTACAGGCAGTGCTGAGAGATCATTCAGGGTCATTAATCAGAATAATAGCTAATGAAAACAGTAAGTCAAATGTTCCATCTATACTAATGTATGCCATCCTTACAATCACGTTATCAAGTGGACACTGTTATTATCCTCATTTTTTAGTTGGCGAATATCATTAAAAGTCACTTACTCAAGGTCACATTACTTGTAAATGACTGAGATGGAATTTCAAGTCAGACGTTCAAGGTTAACCACGACCCCATGGTGCCTCTAAGAATATAATAGCTTAGAAACAAGTCCTATCTCATCAAGATTAAATGCATTAATACATGTCAAGTACTTAGAATTATGCCCGGCTCATAATAACATTAAGTGAAGGGGAGATCTGTTACTCTCTTCTATCTTCCATTGCCTTCAGGAATGCATTAGGGTCACGTGTGCCTTTGCTTGACAAGAAAGTATCCCAACTAAGTTTCTAGCTGTTCCCTTATCAGTCTGGGCCAATGAGGAGGCGTAGGAGGGTATTCATATTCATGTATCAAGTTGCCAGAACTGATGTGAGCCCCAGAATATTCCCAGAATAAAACTAATTTGGCATTATTTTCAAAATTAAAACACACACACACACACACACACCAACAAACCACCAAATTAATGACACACCAAAACCAATAAATGGACATGTAAGAATATATCCAGGGTCCTTTCCTACTTTCCTCATTTATCCAAATTATGGAATTACTACTTCATTGGCACTTTTGATAGAATATGTAAGAGAGCCCTGCAACTATTTTAAAGACACAATTGTTGACCCTAAATTGAAAGCTGATCTTTTGTTTCAGTCTAGTCCAGCCCAGTACCTGGCAAACAGTAGGGATACACTGTTTGCTGAGATGAATTTCCCTGGCAGCAAAGATGACCCAGACACAGGTAGAAGGGAATGATGGCAATCTCAGAAGGGTCAGCCGGAAACAGAATGTATGTAGTACAACAGAAATTCTCAAGCCCCTAGGATTCCGAGCACAGAACACTAGTGCCAATCACCATAGCTGTGACTAATTTGGCCAGAAATAAGATCAGATGAGGTTTGGGCTCAGCTCATCAACACCCGTCGAGTTCAAACCTGTTTTTCTTTTCTTTACGTTTAGGATTTCTTTTGGACAGATCTGAATAGGAGTCTGTGTCTGTCCCTCTGGTTACAACTTAAAAAGTAGCCTGTAGACTAGGGGAGATACAGTGGCTGGCTTCTCTGCCGTTCTCACACAGATGTGGAGCCCATTTCCTTGAGCTTAAAACCAACTAATTATCCTGGCAGTCCGCACATCCTTATCCTTGCACCCTAACACCGCTAATGGTACCTGTCAGGTATTAGGCCTCCAGGGATCTTCTCTGGTGTGTCCACTAGTAGAATGCAGGGGAAACAAGGCTTTTATAGAGCTCAAGGTGGGTCCACTGGTCCCTAGGGCATGAAATTCCTTTCCTAGGTTCCAGGGAAAATGGCATGCGCTTGAAGAGTGCAGTGAAAACTCATAGGAGTGCAATGAGAAAGATCGCCATGGTGCTCTTGCTCGCAGGCGGAGGAATGAGTAGGCCTCGCCGCCCTCCCAGTCTCTCCAAGGGCTTCTGCAGCGGCCCCTTCTTCTAGAAGGAAGCAAAGGATGTCCCCAAAGCTGAAGCCTCAATGCAAGCAATTACAGGCCTTGCTCGGTGCCTTAAAAAGAAACTCTCTTTGGAGGAGCCCACTCCACCTCTGAGAAACGCAAAGGATCGAGATCTCGGCCTCCGGAAGTCTAAACGGTCCTTTAGACAGACACCGCCCAAAACTACAAACTATGAATGCGCTGTTGCCAAGAAGGGCCTTGTTTAAGGATCACCTGAGGAGTTTTAGAAGCTGCACATGCTGGGGAGTGTAATCAGAAGCAGAGCATAGAAATCTGCAGGTTTCCAAAAACTGAGGCTCAGCAACCCTCCGCTGGTGCCCCAGCAGAGCTTCTCCCTTCTGCACCCCCTCAGCCGATTGCAGGAACACAATTCTCCCAGGACTAGGCTGCCTGCCACAATCCCAAGAGCCACATCCACAAGTACACCGTCGGGGGGGGGGGGGGGCCTCCAGGGTCCCGCCACGCCCCCTGAGCAGGCGGACCACTGCCAGAAGCAGGCTAGAGTCCATACCTTTCCCGATGACTTCCAGCAGCTCCTTCTCCTCCGGAATCAGCTCGCCTTTCTTTATGTGAACCATTGCTTCCGCCAGCTTGAAAGTTATTCCGTTTCCTTAAGAGTATCAGAAAGAAATTAAATGATATGCCTGTGTTAGGGACGTCAGCAGCAAAGGGGCAACTTTGGAGGCCGGGACTCAGTGCAGCCGACCGCAGTAACGCTGGTCTCGCCTCCCTCCGTTAGGCTGGCTGGTGCGCAGCAGGCGAGCTCCGGCGAGCTGGGCGGCAGGCCCCGCTGCAGTCACCGCCCCTTGAGCGTCATTGGCCCGGCCTGGAGGAGGAGTTGCAGGAGGAGGTAACGAGGAGCTCCCATTGGACCAACCTTAGTAGAAGAAACCAAATGAAAAAATTGGAGGGGGATATCTAGGTTTCTTTTACACGTTCTCCACTAGTTTCCAGAACTTCCTATATATGCATGGCAATAAAGTATTTAATATTATTTTCCTGTTTGTTCTTTATTCTGCGATGGCTACTTGGGTCAGATAGAGACCTCTGACCTTCGCGATATCCTCCATGGACCTCCCAAGCGTGGCTTGGCCCGCGAAGGGGCGGGCTGGGAGGCCGGGCGGTGCGGAAGGCGGGGCTGCGCTGGGCTCAGTGTGTCGGTGTCAATGTGTCTGTCCTTCACTCCTCCATTGTCTGCCGCCGCCGCTACCACCTCCTCCGCTGCCCGAATCGTCGCAGCCTCCAGCCTCGCGCGTCGCCGCTACCTCCTCGGACAGGTAAGAGATGCTCAGGTGGTACGGAGGCAGCACGGCGGGCTGCTGGAGTCGCGGCCGCCGCCCCTCCGGGGGCTTCCACCGGGGTTAGAGATGATCAGGAGGAAGCATGTGCCTGCTGGGGCGCCTCCTGCGGCGCTCGGTGGGGAAACTTACTCTATGCCATCACCACCCTGTAGAGTGCTCATCAGTGTCCCGGGATGGAGACCTCCCGCTCGCCACGTTTGACGGCCCCGAAGACCCTGGCACTGCGAGCTGACGAGGGCCGGCCATGCGGTGCAAAGTGGAGCGTGCATCGCCTTTTGCGTGGCGCCGCCAGATGTAGATCCTGGGGAGGCCGGGCTGGCGTTGTAGGCTAGAGGTGGGGAAGGTGAGCTGCCCATTATGAGCAAGGTGAGAGCATGCATTTCTCTTTGGCAAGACTCGCCCCCTGGCACCCTCACCCCCCCCACCCACTTGTCATCTCCTCTCTAGCTTCTCTGGACACTAGTAGAAAACCGGACCTCATCGCCCTACAGTGCTTGTTAAGGCTCTTTGGAAGCAGTGTGCACTTGCATAATAAGAAGGCCTTGGAGAGAAGGAATGGCATCTTGGTTTTGCCTAGAGTTCCCAGCCTCTTTGTAACTCGGATCTTGAGATTCATGGAAATGGGGGAGGGGGGTTGGAGGCGGGGATCTAACTAGTGTTTCTGTCTATATATAGCCTCAGATTAGCCTTTTAATCCAACCTTCATTCAAGTGTGACAAGCAGGCTCGAGCTTCGACCCTAGGTAAATAAGGGGGTAAATGCAAGTGTGTCGCCTCCTGGGGCTCAGACACAAGACTTGTTTGCTTCACTATGAAGTCACTCATTCCTCCAGAGCACACATCCAGAGCACAATTAAAGCTTCTTTAGAAATTAATATTTATATTTTACCATTGTTTCTTTACATAGTAGTATTGACGTCTCTTCTCTCCAGACTCATCTGCTTCATTGAGAAATTGTGTCGATGGGTTTTTGTTAAGCATCCCCATGACACTCCTCCACACGACACATATAGAAGTGAAATGCATGTCCCTCTGGCTTTATGCCTTCATATGCTCAAAGCACTTACACTGTTGAGAATCCTGAAAGATGTTTCTCTTCATTTTCTGTGCCTAATAAAATCATTTCTTAAACTCTAGCTATTTTCTAAAGCTTCAACTTTGAATGGGTGGGGCAATCTGAGCCAGGACATCTCACAAGAAAATGGCCTGGAATTATTCATCATAATGCATAACAAAGAAACTTTTGTTTGACTCTGGTTTAATAATGATCTGACTGTTTAAAACAACAAGCAGCAAGTAAGACTTTGGAGAGTGGTATTTTTAACACATACAATACTGTTATTGCCATAGTTACAATTGGTTTGTAACACAGAGTCATGTAGAGGGAACCCCTATCTGCTTGAGGAGTAACCTCCCACAACATAAGACTGGACATTTTACCATTGGACACATGGGCTGTATTGAATATTTTCATTGCCAGTATTTCCATCTCTTGTGTCAGTTTTTGGCTTTGATTACTTGAAGGTCACACCTGTTTGTCTCACTGGGATTGTCAGTTCCTGGAGGATAGCAACTTATTATCTATTTTCTCTTTGCCTCCTGGTATCTAATGACTGGAATTTAGTCTTCAGTGAATGCATGACCTAAGTAAATTTAGATTCACCACGATTTAAAGACAAAGGAAAACTAACACCTACGAAGAAAGGCAAAGACATCATATGTGCACTTTAAATTTCTTGAAACATATATAATGGCTAGTGCTCATCAGATCGGTTGCAAAGTTTTGTTAGAGTAAATATTTAATGGAAGAATAAGATTAGGTAATAAGCATACATTTGATTAGTCCAAGGAACTTTTCTAGTACTTACAGTGTATTTGCATCAAAGTTTTCCGATTAACAGAAATAGCTACTACATGTTGAATCTTTAATCTGCATCAGATATTTTACTAGATGCTTCACATAGTCTTAATTAATCACTGTTAGAACAACTCAGGTTGACCATTTCCTCCTGTGTCTGCAGATAAGAAGGCAGCAACTAAGGAAAGTTGGTTAATTTGCTTACAACCCCACAGTTAAGAGAGTCAGAGACAGAACTGAAACCTAGCTCTGGCTCTAAAGTCTTTTCTCTGACTCTTATTATATGCCTGGCAGTAAGGGGGAAATTATATGTTCTTTTCACTAGCTAATAGATAATACATTACTGTGGTTCAACATGCCAGAAATACCAGAGTTGTTTCCCTCCCACCTCTTGCTTGGGGCCTCTCTCAATGCCCCACAACCTATTTCATTCATATCTTACCAAAGATATTTTATGTGCTTATATCCTATCTTTCAAAGAGAGGAAGACTTTCAACTAGATGGATTGACACAGTGACTATAACAATGCTCAAGCATGGCAGAGATTGCAAGGATGGCTGGTGCAGGGCAGTGCCAGGTTCAGATCTGTCACAGGGACACTAAGATTTGTAGTCAACTTGACAGCACCTAACAGGACAATAACATGCCTTATCTTTTTATTTCTTCCTTTCTACTTTATTTCTAGAAATGGGAACATACTAATATCTTGTTCTATATTTACAGAATATGTGATTTGGTATCTCTTCCGTTTCTTCACCTGTTTAAAGAGAATTCTTTCTGATGTGTCTGAAATTGTCTTGGAGCTCTCATCTCCTGTGTTCTACTGCTGCACTCTTAGTTACTCCTGCCTTTTTTGTAGTGCATCCTAAATCTTCTCTCACTTCTCTCAATCCAGTTAATTAAACACACACACACACACACACACACACACCCCAAACTAGTAGGTCAATAAGCACTGAGGATCCCATTATCCACAGAGGATGAGACACCCTGGGAAGACTAGAATGTGTCAATGGCTTGCTGTTGGCCGCAGTCTAGAGGTTCAGGTTGGCCTGGAAGGTTCCCACTTCTGGCCCCAGCCAGCATTTCCAGTCAGCCTGCCCCTCCCACACGCTCTGCACAAACATCACCACATTGTTGGTTCCCTAACATGCCAGTAATTTCCACCCTTTTGTTCCTGCTTTTCTCTTCCTGGAATGACTTCCCTTCCCTCCTTACTGATTCCCGCCTCCCCACCCTGTAGAACTGTTAAACTGTTCAACTTTTATACTGCTTAAATAAATCTGTTTCTTCAATTTCCATGATCACCTCATTTCTGCCTCCCTCGCTCCATTCAGTGATGAGAGCACATTAACATGGATATGTGTCTTCCTCATCAAGGGGGAGGGGATTAGGTAACATCTTTATATAAGGATGCTGTGGACTTGTAACATCATTGCTGCTAATGATATTGGTGTTTTCTGTTCTCTCCCAGGAGTGCAGTGGTAGTTTATGGTAGAAAAGCCCTCTTAGATAGGTGGCCAGTGCATTGCCACCACTGGGCAGTCACTGAGGGCTTGTGTGCTGATGTGATGCTGAGCAGTATCAGCAGCACTTCCTAGAGTAAAACAGAAAAGAGAGAATGATCTGGCAACCTGCTTCCCAAAACCAGCAAAGGAAAACACTTTGGATCACAAGAGTGGAATCTCATTGTGGATGAAGTTGCCATGAGTCGAGGGGCCAATATTTTGTGGTAGCTGGTAACAACAGTATCTCTCTTCATATGGCCTTGTACCTTCTCTCTCTCTCTCTCTCTCTCTCTACTTAACAGCATTGCTTATTTATACTGATCCCATGAAATTACCTAAAGCACTTTTCTCACCACATTCTAGTATTCTTATTACTAGAAAGGTGAAGTTCCCGGATGGTGTAGATGGTTAAGTGTTATATTACTAATCAAAAGGTTGGTAGTTCACATCCTCTCAGATGCACCTCCAAAGACAAACCTGAGGATCTGCTGCCTTAAAGGTACAACCTTGAGATCCTCACTGAGCAATTCTCTTCTGTACACATGAGGTCACTGTGAGTTGGAATGGACAAACTGGCAACCTAGAGCAAGCGGTAGTTGTGGTTGTGTACTGTTGAGTCAGAGCCTATAGTTGACCCTTCAGTGAGTTTCCAGACTCAGTAAATCTCCCATGAGGAGATTACCCATCTTTCTCCCACACATGAGCTGGTAGATTTGAACCATGTACTTTTGAATTTTGTTAATTGTGGATCCAAGTAGGATGAAGCTGTTAACAGTGTTAACAGTTTTAATCTCTTCTCCATCCATCATGATGTTGCCTTATTGCACCAGTGGTAAGAATCTTTGTTTTTATGACATTGAGATGCAATCCACACCAAAGGCTGTATTACTTGATCTTCTGCAATAAGTGCTTCAAGTCCTCTTCACTTTCAGCAAGCTAGATTGTGTCATCTGCATAACTCAAGTTATTGATGAGTGTCTCTCCAAACCTGGTGCCACATTCCTCCTCAGAGAGTCCAAATTATCGAATAATTTTCTCAGCATACAGATTAAATAGGTATGGAGAGAGAATCCAGTCCTGACACACTCCCTAACTGATTTTAAACCATGTAGTATTCCCCTGCTCTATTCACACAGCAGCCTCGTGGTCCAGGTATAGGTTTTATATGAGCACAATTAAGTGCTCTGGGACTCTCATTCTTCTCAATGTCAGCCATCACTTGATATGATGCACACAGTCAAATGCCTTTGCATAGTCAATAAAGCACAGATATTCTGGTATTCTTTACTTTCAGCGCAGATCCATCTAACATCGGCAATGATGTCTCTGGTGACATGGCCTCTTCCAAATCCTGCTTGAACTTCTGGTGGTTCCCTATGTATTTTCTGTCCCAGCCACTTTTGAATGATCTTCAGGAATATTTTTCTTGCATATAATGGTAATGACATTGTTCCATAGCTTCCACATTCAGTTTGGATCACCTTTCTTGGGAATGAGAACAAATACGGACTTCTTCCAATCCTTTGGCCAGACAGCTGTACTCCAAATTTCCTGGCATAGATTAGTGAGCACATCCAAGACTGCATCTCTTAATTGAAACAAGTCAATAGGTGTCCCATTTTTTCC